AGGACCTTGAGCTTGCGAGGCAGGCACAGCACAACTGAGCTAAATCCACGGCCCAGTTGAAAGTAATTTTGACGATGCAAATTGTGAGTAATTTTCAGATTTGAAAATAAATTTTACCATAAAGGCATATTCAATAATTCACTGAGGCCCACACAGGTACTACTATCCACACCCTAATCAAAAGATACACAAACCCAGAGAATTTCAATTTATTGCACGGGCTAGCCAAAACATGCCTTTCTTTGCAAGTTTACAATTTGTGAATCATGTTTTTTAAATGCTTATCATACCGGATACTTATGTGAATAACGCTTGAAGCTTACTAAACGGTCTCTCGTTAGAGGCACTTATCTGTAGTGATACAACTGACATTTACTAAAAATGCCTGTTTCCCTGCATTACTTAAAACTGACCGTTTCCCTGAAAGTTAGCTTCTGTCAATCATTCAGACTTGCATCTTACCACTGTGTGGCAGAGCATCCAGAAAGCAGTTCCCTGCGTGCACGGAGTGAACTATGAGGTCCTTTCCGCTTCTCATCTTAGTGAAATAGCAAACAGCACCTTCTTCATATTCCTATTTTAGGACCTCCCTCACTATGGACAAGTAAAGAGGAACCAAACTAAGAATCTTGCCAGGGATTTAGCTCAGTGGTGCTGCTGCCTGCCTTGCAAGCACCAAGGTCCCCGAGTTCAATCCCCAGTATTAAAAAAAAGAAAAGAAAAATGAAGAATCTTAAAAAAAAGTGTGTTGTTGCCCTAGCACCACTGCAGGAACACATGAATGCCAAAGCATAAACTTTGAGAGTAAGATATGGAGTTTACTATGTAACTGACTAGCTACAAGAATGAAATTTTAAAAACTAGACATATGGCCAGCCTCATTTTCAATGAAGAACGTTATCTAGCAGGTGAGAGCTGTTTAAGGTGGGAAGGGTGGGCATGGTAGCGTACACCTGTAATCACTGCTCTCTGGGAGCCTGGGGCAGGACAACAAATTTGAACCCAATTTGACAATTTAGAGACTTCATCTCAAAATTTTAAAAAAATGTTTTTTAAAGAGCTGGGGATGTAGCTCAGTGCAAAAGCCCTGGGTTCAATCCCAGCATTGCCTCCAACCCCAAAAGAGTGGTGAGCAAGCCTAGGCTTTGGAGGCAGACTGGATTCCAATCTCAATTTTACTCACCGCCAGGGAGACATTAGACAGATTACTTAATCTCTCTAAATTTCAGTTTCCTCATTTATCTTTTTAAAAATTTTATTTCTATCCATGATGATGAAGGAAATAGAGATAAAACACTTCAAAAAATCTTGCACAATGCCTCCCATGTACTATGCAATGAAAAAGTGCCACTTACTACAAGATGTGATTATTACTAATGAATTTAATTAATGAACTCAATTGTTAAACGGAGCGCAAAACCGACTTTCTACATATGGTATCAACACATTCCTAAACACCACGTGAAAGAATTGCACAAGTTTTAGTTTTCTTTTTCTGTTTTCCTACTATAAAGTAGGGTGAGTTTAGTTAAAAAAATCAAAGCAAAAAGTCTGTTAAATGTGTACAGTTTTAAGATTTAAAAGTAACTGCGTCGTTCCCGTATTTTTCATTTATTGAGTAAATATGTATTCAGTGTGCTGCAAGGTCACTGTGCCTTTTAATTAACACTGGCACACAAACATGAACATATCCCTGCCTAAAGCTGAACAATGCTAATTGAAAGCACGTCTCTAATTCTTTGCACAGATTTTCCTCAAACACAGAATATAGTAGATACTCATTAAATCATGCTGCATAGACCTACTTAAATGTGTCTAAGACAAAGACCCGGGAATAGGCAAGCAGAAGTAAGTTTTTCCTTTTGACAAATTTAATGAAAGATGCACTTTCAATGATCAAAATGAAACAAGAACTTTTAATGTTCCTTTCAGATTAAATTTTGAAGGGGATTCTGAGATAGTCTAAGGGGATGGAGTGGAATGAAAGGTAGGGTGAGAACAAATATCCACTTTAGATACCATGCAAAGGATAAACTGCTGAAATTCTTTAAAATAAAGAATAAAAATAAGGTCTACATGTGTACTGTCTATGAAACATGATGGAGCAGAATAAAAATTTAAAGATGTTGAAAGCAACATACTCCATGTAATAATTTGGGGAAGTTATATAAACTTGTTTTTCTGTTAAAGTATTTTTTCAGGGGCCAGGGATTTAACCTAGTCGTGCCATGCCTGCCTCACAAGCACAAGGTACTGAGTTTGATCTCCAGTGCCCCCCAAAATATTTTTTTTCCAATTTTGACTTGGTAAATTTGAAATTATTTTTCTAAAAATAAGGATGAATTTATAGAAGTGGATTTTTCCAGTTTTATCTCCAACATACAAACACTCATGACAGTAGGCACAGGGTACAGAAATAAACGGCAGAGTCAAGGACACCAGTAAATCTGTATTTATAATGCAGGGGAATAAAGACAACATACAGCACAGCTGCCTCACTGCGTATGGAGGATCTTCGAAGAGGGACAATCAGGTTAAAACCAAGAGCCCTAATTCTGAGTGGGTGGACCTATGAAAAGTGTGGGTGAGGGCATTCTGGGCCTGTCCTCTATGTGCCAAGGGCAGCTCAGAACATGGAGCGGGTGGGGATTAGCGGTTTCGTGCACTGCAATACTAAGAACAGTCGAGGGTGAGGCTGCAGAGGACTGGCATGGATCCAATCACATGACGGTGCACAAGGAGGTTTGTCTTTTAGGAGGAGGACTTGAGCAGTAACACAAAAGAAGGGACTAAGGTTCAAAAATAAAACCTTAGCTGTTAACAGCAGGTGAGGGTGGGGTAGTGGAGGCAACTGGGGGATTAATGAGCTTTTATAAGACCAAAGGAACAGTGATTCTTGATCAATAAGTAAAATGCAAAACATCACAATGACTTTTAGGTTTGGGTCTGACTACTAAATGCTGGAGGGAAAAACACTGGAGATTAACATTTTAGTATAAACTTGGGTAAGAAAGTATCTAGGAATTTTATACCACCATTAAATCTAATTATGCTGAAAAACTCTTCTTAGCTGGAAAGATTGACAGACTTTCCCAAAGTGTCCAACATATAAACTTGACGTAAGTAGTTTCCTACTGCAGCTTTTTTGCTTAGTATTTGTGGTTAGTATACAATAGGTTCTTAAGTTAATCCACTCATTATCTTCATGAAGTTGGTTAATGGAAGCACTCTACTTTTAATCAAACAGCAGTGAAGTAATTTTCTAGAGATCCTTTCAAAGGCCAAAAATCAACCTGAATATTTGAGTAGTTTTCTCTGCAAAAGTCACTAAAGTAACTTGTCTTTGCTAGAAAAATACATAGCAAGAACTGTGATTTAAAATTTCAATTTACTATATAAATATCTCAGATTATTTTATCCTTTAAATATTTTATCTTTGGTTTGGAAACTATTTCAGCCTAAATAATTAATGTTTCCAAAAAAGAAGGCTACATGCTGCACATGAGCTATATAATGTTTTGGGTTACAATATACATCCACTTTGAATGGAACCAAATTAAGTAACAGGTTGGACTCACTTTTCCCTAAATTCTGTTTAAGTCAATCAATGCAAGTAGCTACCATCACAGCCCCCAAAATAATTTTGTCAAATTATAAATTAAATCAAAACAAAAAGCTGAGGCCAAGCATAATGTTAACCAGAAGGAGTTATTTTCCAGCACAATTCCTAGGTGTAGCTGACATGCTTTACAACAAAATAAAAAGCAGCTTCCAAGTAACTATTTTATGTGTATATTACATGCTAGTAATATTGGTAAACGTTAGTTAAGATATCATCTAATTTTTATTACTAGAATCTCATTTCCTTAACCAATAACCATGGTACAAACTACTATAAGTATTTTTTCCTAATCATTGGATTCTTTTTCCTCGAGCTTTAATTCCTAAATCCTTGAGAACTATGCCTTTTTCGCGGCCACCTAAAGCTGTTCTCTGCTTTTGGTTGTTCTTAAATGTTGCTATGCAAATAGCAGGACACTGGGGTCTGTGATACCATGGACACCTAATCTAGTGTCCTGCAGCACAATTTTCGTATTTCCTTTAAGGTTATTGGTAGCTTCTACATACATCCAAATTTCATTTAATTTGGTTATAATTCACTTAACAAAACATTTCAGTTATATATGTGATAGAAACTATCCTACTTTTCAAGATACTACCTTAAGGCATTTGCAAAAATAAAAAAGTCCTTTAATACTTCTGGATTTCAGTCAAAAGAATTATTAATGTAAAGCATTTGCCAGGGATTTAGCTCAGTGGTTCCACTGCCTGCCTCACAAGTACAACGTCCTGAGCTCAATCCCCAGTACTAAAAAAAAAAGAACAAGTATTAATAACACATTTTTATATATTTAACCAGCCATAGATACAAACAAGTTTAGTTTAAAAAGAAGAAAATCAAAGACACTAGGAGCCCATGAACCACAGAAGGATCCAGCAGACAATGTGACTACAGGAATCTGCAACCCAAAGTGTCAATACACCTGGAGAAGTCCAAGCTCCAGGGCTTATAAAACAACAGATTCAACAAAAAAAATGCTTTACTTAAAGATAAGTAGCACTTTGGCTTGGAGTGGGAAAGACTGGGAGAGCTGCTTTTGTAGCAACTATGCTTTGGAGTAAGCAGATTTTGGTTTTTTTTGTTTTTGTTTTGTCTTTTTTGGTGTTTGTTTTTTGGTTTTGTGTTTTTCAGTTATTGGTAACTGCACCTTGAACCTTTAATGGGGTAGTTAACCAAGTGGTCTGCCTCTGAAATATATCTCCAGCTATTTTTTTTGGTACCAGAGATCGAACTCGGGACCTTGCGATTGTGAGGCAGGTGGCAGCACCAATGAGCTAAATCCCCAGTTCTTTTTTTTTTTTAAAGACAGGGTCTCACAAAATTGCTGGCTTCAAATTTGTGATCTCCCTGCCTCAGCCTCCTGAACAGTGTGGATTACAAGTGTACACCACCATACCCAGCTAAAAACAATGTTTATTTCCTTGCCTTAAGCCATTATTTGTGGATGAAAGACGTGTCTTACTTGTAGAGATTGTAACTAGCACTAGAAAAAGCACAAAGTATTCAATTCCTAACAAAAATAGTTTTTCAGTATCAGAATAATGAACGTTACATAAAATTCTACACATACTAAGCATGACTAGAAGAAAACTTTTTAAGATAAATGGTAAAGACTTTCTTTTTAATAAGTTCTTTGGTTATAAACAGGTCTTTAGTGACACTTGTTCTATGAACTATAACTGATTTTGCTGGTGGCTTTTCTGCTACTGATTTTGCTGATGTCCCTTGAAGACCAAGACAAAATTATTTTGAGTTACAGCTCACAGAACATATTTCACACAGTTTACACCTTGCTTTAGTATAAAACAATTACACAATTAAAATATAACTTTAGATTTGAGATAGCATAAATTATTTACGAAGCTACTGATGTGCAGGTTGCATACACTTTCCATTTTTTTGGTACTGGGGACCAAACTCGGGACCTTGCACACGGCAGGTGCAGCATCAGTGAGCTAAATCCCCTTCCCAACTTTTTATCTTTCAAAAAATAAAAACTTAGATTCTCTTAAAAGCTGAATCACAGTCTGTGTACATCTTCCCATGGCGCTTGAGGTGCTCTTTTCCATTCACTGACTCACAGATTCCTGAGTGAAATAAAGCATAAGGAAACATAATTAATGTGCTTGCTATTCCATTAAAAACTTACCGTCGCTTTAGCAAAGCCATAAAAAAGTACAGGGAAGTAGGGTTATGCTCTATTACCAGAACAAGGAGCTCTAATATCAATGATCTGAGGAAATTTTGAATCAGTAAAGATAATTAGGTACTAAAGATTAATTAGTTCATAACACCACATATATAGGAATATATGAGAATAAAGTCATAGAAGGCAAGCTGGGCATGGTGGTGCATGCCTGCAATCCCAGCACTTGGAAGGCTGAGGTAGGAGGATCACCTCCAGTTTGAGACCAGCCTGGCCAACATAATGAGCTCAGGGCCAGCCTAGACTTCAGAGTGAGGGGCCGGGGATTTAGCTCAGTGGTTCCGGCACCTGCCTTGCAAGCACAAGGACCCAAGTTCACATAGAAGGCAAGCTGGGCATGGTGGTGCATGCCTGCAATCCCAGCACTTGGAAGGCTGAGGTAGGAGGATCACCTCCAGTTTGAGACCAGCCTGGCCAACATAATGAGCTCAGGGCCAGCCTAGACTTCAGAGTGAGGGGCCGGGGATTTAGCTCAGTGGTTCCGGCACCTGCCTTGCAAGCACAAGGACCCAAGTTCAATCTCCCGTGTAACCTCACAAGTACAAGGTCATGAGTTTGATTCCCTGGTACGAAAAAAAGAAGGGGGGGGGGACTAAAACCAAAAAAAACAGGAGTAAAAAGTTAGATGAAATACTGTAAAAGAAACTAGGGAGATAAAAGAAAAGAATGCTGTTAATTTCTGTAAAATTATATTTTTCCCATAATAGTATAGACAAACATATCCAGAGGCATATTAAACAACTAGGCCTCTTATGAAACTGGAAAAAATCTGGTTTAACAGCCCATGTATACTGAACTGTGCCATTTATTTAGACTATCATTTGAATATAACTTACATTTTTTCTTTGCCTGGGGGCATTATTTTCTATACCGTTGCTATCATCTGACTTCCTGTACAGAAAACAAAAACGAAAATCACCACATGTCTACAATGCTCACAACTAAGACAGTACACTATTTATATCAGGGTAAAATGCAAGACTTCAATACAAACTTATGTTATTCTTTTTTTTTTTTTTTTTTTTTTTTTTTTTTGCAGTACAGGGGATAGAACTCGGGGACCTTGCACTTGTAATTCTGGCACAGCTCCACTGAGCTAAATCTCTGGCCACTATTCTTAAAAATGTTTTGCTCAAAATGTTGATTTTATTTTTACTGTTTAGATACTAATGCTGCCACAGATGCTAGTGAAAGACTTATACAGAGGGAGCACCTGGACATATAACCACAATTTATGCATTGTTTCAAAACACACAAGAAAAATAATAACCAATTAGGAACTCACCAGTTTGTGTGACACTGGTACAATAATTCGATGTTTATTACATTAAAGGTTAAACATGGTTCTTTACCCAGTGTGCACCGGAGCAAGACAGCTTCAAATTGTTATGACTAAATAATGTAACAATTTTGCATAATGAATCCCTTACAAACTTTATGGGCAGCCTTGAGCACATGAAGCTATTACCACTAGATAATAAACTCAACCGCCCGATCAATAATGTCAGAACTGGGTACCAGTAGGGACCGTGTGCATTAAATATATAAGTGAATGAAGATAAATGAGTGAACTTCACTGTGAACTACATGAAATAACTGGTTTGATGTTGAACATTTGGTACTCTCTAAGAATCAGTTTCCCCACAGAGCACACCTATAATCCCAGCACTTGGGAGGCTGAGGCAGGAGGATCACTGTGAGTTCGAGACCAGGCTGGGCTACATAGTAAGTTCCAGGTCAGTCTCAATTACATAGTGATACCCTGTTTGAAAAAAAAAAAAACAGATTCCCCAAGAAATTCCTATTCATCTAAACACATATATAGGTATTATACATAAAATAATAAAATATAAAAATATTTCCTGCCAGAAGGAATCTCTTCAATAATAAGTCTAAAAGGATCATGAAAAGGCTGGGGATGTAGTTCAGCAGTGCCACGCCTGCTTGGAAAGTGAAGGGTCCTAAGGTCAATCCCTGGTACCAAAGGGGGGAAAACAGGATCATGCATAAAGCATTGGTCCAAATGAACTTTAAAATACCTTAACTACTTGTACTAATCTAAAGATATTGAAATAATCTAAAGTGAGACACTTTCAGTGACATGTGGTAGTAAGCACTAGGAAAAATGATGTATATTATCCCAATTTTAAAAAAAATAAAGTCCATTCTTTATATTTTTACAATGAATCATTTTGACACTGTTTCTAAGATATTCTAGGAAAGATATCAATGAGGCTGTGTAAGTAAAAGAAACTGTACAGAAGTGACAGTCCACTCCGGATGTTCTGCAACCATCCTTGCAGAGTGAGTGCTACACAAATCAGAGCATGACCACCACCTATAACTGGTTCAAAGTTCGGATTGCGAAGGACAATGTCCAGGTTCTCCAGGAAGATGCAGACCTGCCCTGGGAGAGCTGCAGCTCCCTTCCAACTCGGAGGGTCTGATTCTAACAGAACGCTGCTTTTCGTCTACCTCATCTCAAGGAAACCGACTTCGTATCTTGTGCCTCTAACTTGGAAGCTGTCTCTTGTTGATTTATTTTACCTGCTACATGGGAACTAAGCCAAAGGCCTGTGTGAATAATGTCTGTGAACAAGGACAAAAGTTTATCCCACTCCTGCTTTGCACTGTGGCTCCTGATGAAGACAGACGTCCAGGGTCATTTTGCGCTAGCAACAACTGTTCAGGCCTCTGTTTCTTGTGTTCTTGGCCCACATCCTACATTTTGTGACTCAGACCAGTCCCTGTCTTGGGCACCTCTGTTACTGGCCTCTCGTTGGTTGGCTTGGAGGAAAAGAAGCTCCAACTTTCCCCAAACCAAATTACATCCCTGCGATTTTATTCCCCAGTTCTCCCCACATTTTCTACTACTCTGAAGGGGACTAGCAGAGAACTTATGGCAAAATGAACATTCGCTCAAAAATGATTATTAATAGAATTCAAGGCCAGCTGTCTTCAAGACAACAGGAGGCTGGGGATTTAACTTCACGGATCCGTTGCCTGCCTTGCAAGCGCAAGGACCAGAGTTTGATCCCTTGAACAACAACAACAAAAAAAGACAACAGAGAATGAGAACCACTGGTAGACATTTTAAGAACTCAGGCCCCAGTCCCTGAGACTCTGATCTGGGAGATCCAGCAAGATCTGAACAACTGTATTTCTTTCTTTTTTTCTAGAGCTGGGGATTGAACTCGGGTCCTTGCGCTTGTGAGGCAGGCAGCAGAACCACTGAGCTAAATCCCCGGCCCTGAGCAACTGTATTTCTAAGAAGCATCTTCAGTGATCAAAACAACTGGCAGGTTGACAATCACTGAAACAAGTAATACTTCCTTAAGGTTAATGAACACGGACAGCAAAGCTCCCACTAAGTCTTCTTCACCTACAGAAGATCATTTCATCCAACAGACTTATGCGGTAAAAGCTATGATGAACCAATTTTGCAAGAGAAAAACCAAGGGTTGGGGAGTGAAAGCAGTAAGCTACGCCTGTGTTACAGGCCCGTGGGCTCTGGGTGCCACCCTAGCACCACAGGGATAAGAAGAGAAAATAACAGGCACATCCTAATGAACTGTTAGGCTGTTTTGTTCCTAACAGCAAAACATTTCATTCAATTTCGTGTTTGTCTGCATTTTACCAAGGGAAAATCTTGTCAAAGAATTAATACTTACAGCTGCTCAATTTGTTCAAATTCCTTTCCTTCATCTGTGCAACAGAAGAATTTCACAATTAATCACGGTTTATTATTTTTTATGGGACAAACACGTTCAGGTCAACCTGGCCCTAAGGGAGAACACTGTGTTTCCTGAGACAGCTGCACTCCCTCCACCCTTCCTCCGCGTCGGCACTCTGTGCTGTATCTGCACCTCTGATCAGGAACAGGTAGGTTAGTTAGTGCCCAGGGACTTTCAAAAAGATGAGTCATTAATCTGCCGCAGAGTTATTAATCATTTAACACGTCGGGCATGACAGTGCAAGATTTGTAACACTAGCACTTACAAGGGTGAAGCAAGAGGATGGCCAATTTGAGGCCAGCAAGATCCTGCTCAATAATTAATTAACGAATTAATTAATTGAATAGAAGATGAGGAAAGAATACAGGATGTAAGACGATTTTCCATCAAGCACAGGCTATAAAACCAGGAAACTTGACAGAACAGGGTCTCTTTTAATGAGAACTTTTTTAGTGAATTACCTTAAAAGTTTTATATTAACCAATCACAGATTTTTCTTTTAATATCCCACTGTCACCACACACATCCTAACTGGTACTTAGATACCACTAGCATCAAAAATAAATCAATTTAAATACTAAAAAAACTTTCAAGTGGAAATCACAAGATCAATAGAGGCTTACAGCTCACTATTACCGCTGTTACTGACAGAAGTATCGCTCCAAATAAGATAAATTGGATTTTCCCCCATATTTTAAAGTCACAGTAATGTATGAAGTCAAAAGATATATCATAATTAAGTGATAATGTTATCTAAAAGACCCTACCTGGGTGCTTCTTTTTCTTTTGTGTGTACACTTCACACAGCAGAATAACAGCCACTAAAACAACAGCTTCAGCAATTATTGCAAGAAACGGTTTGAGGGGCACCAAAAAGCTCAGCACAACAAGCTCCAGCTGCTCCTCGCTCTCGCCCAGCTGGAATACCGCATGGCACCAGTAGGAACCCCCGTCTTCTTCCAGAAGGTGCTTTATCTTGAGCTTTGTTTCATTCCTGTATGCTCCGCTGACAACGTACTTCTCCTTCGTGTGAACATCAATAGGAACCTAATGTAAGGAGACATTAAAATCCATTGCTATCACACTGCGTAACAGATACATGCCCTACTTGACCTACTTTTAAGGAAAGCTGTAACATAGTGCCAAGACAGCTGCTTCGTGGAAAAAGGCATATTAAAATTCATGAGAAGTTATTTAGAGCAGACCTTGAGTCTTACCAGAGTCTGAATCTTCCAGGTAACAGGAAAAAAATACATTCTGCTGTCAGGATTTTATAGTTTATGTATAAAATTTAGCACTGAATACAAACAAGTAAGCAGGCTCTTACAGGTAAATATTATATGAAAATTAAAAACAGGAAAATTTAGCTACCTGGGTTATACATTCTAATACTAGACTGGCTTTTCACACACTGAGGCACCCAGTAAGACAACTACCTCTGCCTTTCACCAACAAGAGGAACCCAGTAAAACAACTGTCACTGCTAAGGCCACTATGGCTCAGCATCCACACAAAACAAATCACTTAACAATGGGAGTTTCCCAGGCTGTGACTATAGCTGAAATCTTCAGCCCGCTGGAGCTTATGCAGAAGGAATGAGCAGAAACCCCCCCATGGACTGTTCCCTGGGGTGGCCTGAACCTCTTCCTTCCTCTCACCCCAATTTCTTTCTCTGCGCCCACCTACTCCACAGCCTCTTCTGAGTTCTCTGGGTTTCCCCCAGGCTCACAAGCCCCGTGCTGAGCTATTTGGAAGCTGTTGTACTTAATACAGTTAAATTAAAGTTTAGTCTCAGGCCACTTCATGGCTTCCCTGTGCTATTATTAGTTAATGGCACTGTTCAATAAATGTCAATCTTCATGCAATATTCTCAGAGGTTATCTGTGGAAGAACTCGAGTTCACTGTTTGCAAAAAAAAAAAAAATTACAATGACAGGTCCTAGCACCCAATGTCATCTGGAAAGCTTATGACAAACACCTTGCTCAGAGTCAGAGCTGATGAATAAAGGACTGGGTTTTTGTTTTTTTTTTTAAAGGCACCCTGCTGGTTCTGATGCAGACTTCCGGCTACAGTCATAACAATATTTGACCTAAATTTAGCCCATTCCCTCTTCCTAGTACTTTTTCTCCCACCCTACCGTCAATGTGCTTGGGACCAAAGTGAGAGGATAATGATTTGTACAGCGAATGGAGAGCAACTCAAGTATGTGTAGAAAATGACATTTCACAATGTTTAACTTGACTTGGCCTACTGGTTGTCTGGTATCACACATGCATAAATGGCACAGTTGATATCTGATTTTACAAATGTATTATGCTCCCTCCTTACAATCTTACATACGTCTGTCCTAATCATCCACAAGACAAGAAGCGTAAGTATTAATGGCTTACGTGTATGTCTGTACAATCTGGAGCTCTTTTCTGGGAAGATTAAACCACTGTTACCACACAGCACTCTCCTCTGCAAGTCCTTCCTTCCTCCGCCACCCTGCAACAGTCTAGGAAGCGCCAATTTCATCTCAGAAGGAATTTAATATTTCATTGTAAGATCCATTCTGTCTCCTATGTTCCTTTCAGAATTGTAGCTCACCTTTAACACGACTTTAATTTAAATGCTCATTAGGACCAGGGCAAAAGGAAAACGTTCCCTAAAGGATGATGGCTGAAATTCTCCAGTCATTCAAGGCTATTTAGAAGAATAAAGGAAGCCAGAAACGATTTATTGAATATCCCTGTAGTTTTTCACATCAGTTCTTTCTCTAAAATGTATCAGCTATTTCTCTAAAATAAGTCAGAATTAAAATGCACTTTTCCCTTTCTCTCCAGTACACAGAAGCCAAATGAGACCAATGGGCACTCACCATAAGCTCTAAAACCTAACTTTTTCCCCTAGTTATATAAACATTTTTGACTTTCTTCTGTATTTTACTTTTTTAAATTTCATTTTATTTCATTCTCCCCTCCAAACTCCCCTCCCTATGTACAAAAGCTTTGTTTCCTTTTTCCTTCCATCTTCACTTTTTTTCTCGTCCCTTCCTTCCTTTGTCCTTCCCTCCCCCGCTCCCATTTGAACGCTTTCTTCCCATTTTTCAACACCCATTACTCATCTCAGTCCTTATTTCCACATTCAGTTTCCCACATGAGAGAAACAATGCATTATTTAAACATGTGTGTTCAATTTATTTCCCTTTTAAGTATGGCTGAGACTTAAATTTAAGCTATCAAATTTTCAATCCTTTTTTTTAAGGAATAAACTTTGTTTTTGGTACCGGAGATCAAACTCAGGACCTTGTGTTTGCAAGGCAGGCAGTGGAACCTCTAAGCTGAATATCCAGCCCTCCATTCCTTCTTTTAAACTGATGTTCTAACTTTACATTCTACCAGACATTTCAGGACACTGAAACCCAGAAGACAGCTTTTTTTAATTTTTATTTTCTTGAGTTACTTTCATGAAAGATAAAAGCATCTTTTCTGATGGGAGTTATTCTAAACTGGTCAACTAAAAATGAGTTGTAAATTCCTTTCTAAGAATTTAAATAAACTGCTAAACCTAAAAAAACAAATAAGAATTAACGAAACTCTGGGCCGGAGATTTAGCTCGGTGTTGCCGCCTGCCTCGCAAGCACAAGGTCCCAAATTTGACCCTTGATACTGAAAGAAATTAAAAAAAAAAAGAATTAATGAACATTAAGAGTACCTTCAGATGTAAAATGTAATATGCTGAACACATCAAATGATAACTCCATTTATCACTGTTCTTTATGAACACATTTTAAAGTGTAAGTCAGCCTAGGAATTGTGAGTCTGTTATTTATGAACAAAAGGGTTGTTTGTGTTTTCTTCAAATTAAAGAAATATGACCTCTGCCTCACAAGCACAAGGTCCAGAGTTAGATCCCTGGTAACAACAACAAAAAAAGAAATATGACCTTACCTGTATACTCCCATTACTTCTGTACCAGGTCCAGTGTAAAGGATAGCAATGTTGACATTTACACACCAGGACAGTAGAGTCACCCACATAAGTGATCAACGGCTTGTTTTTTCCATGAAGTTCCGGAACTAAGACAAATTGAAAGAAATGTATACTACAAAAACAGTTTAAGTGAAAGAAATGTACTCTCAGAAGACATTTTCTTCTTTCATTTTCTCATTAATATATGATTTTCTTTATGTCGTCTTAGTTATATATAAAAACAATGTAAATTATAGGCATCCGGGTGTACTCAGAATTAATAATAATAGCAGTAGTTAGCAGGCTCCAATACAATTGCCTACAATGTAGAAATGGAAGAAAAGTCTTCTGAGAGCCTCATAAGTTATTACAGTATTTGCATGTTTTAGTTTAGTCTTTCTTCCCACCTACTATGGTACCTGGAAGCACTCATTTTCTTCCACTTTTTTTTAACCTTTAAATGGCATTCTGAGTGAAAAGAAAAAATTTCCAGGCTAGAATAATCCTGAGATCACACAAATTTATATGAAAAGCTAGCAAACAGAATGAGAACATACAGAAACAAAGGAAAATTAAGAGAAAATGTAGTGTAAGAAAATGAGACTTAACAGACATGTTTAAATATCACATTGTTTCTCTGGTGTGAGAAACCAAAAGTGGGAATAAGGGCTAAAATGTATAATAAATATTGGGAAATGGGAAGAAAATGTTCAAATGGGAAGGGAGATGGGGTGGGGAGGAGGGCAGAGACAAGAAAAAAGTGAAAACACAAGGCAAAAATGGAAACAAAGCTTTTAATGTGAGGGACAGGCAGAGGGTTGAGGGGAGAAGCAAATGGGAAAAAGAGGCAAGATATTTCCTGTACAGGTACAAATTCCCTGTGATGAGCTACCCTTATGTGTACCTAAAACGTACCAACAAACGTTTTGCTTCATAAATAAATAAAAAGAAAACGAGATTTTGTTGTTTTCTAAGAAATGATATACTAATATTGTGATCAAGTCAAGTCAGAAAATATGAAGCAGATATCTTCAGTCACTAATGAGCACTGAATTGGGAAAAATCCAAATTTAAAGATGAGAACAATTTGGTTAAGTAAACTAAATTAAAAAACACAGCAATGCAATAAAAAGCCTCTGAATCACCTGCATGATGAACGGTTCCTTCTGAATGACCTCAAAAGATGTATTGATAGAGTATATATACACGGACAATGGAGACACAGACTTATCAACAAAGATTATGTTTGTTAAATTAATTTTAGTATGGTTTCACTTTTATGTTCTTTTAACTTATCATTTGATTAGTTCACCAGCAGAGGAAGAATGTATGAAAGTACAAATATTTTTTACACTATAATGACAAATTTTACAGATGTTCAAATTCTTAATCTATTTTTAGATTTTATATTTGAAAGGACCAGGGTATAGATCAATTTTAATTGCCAGATGTGTTTCAAGATTAAATATATTTTCCAAGGGTTTCTGAGTTCTTACTACCCCAAACATATAACTGGGCACTGCTGGATGTATGAATTATAAAGATAACCAAGCAAGTATAAATGCTAAAAATGACAAGGATATTCTAATTTGTGCAACACTAAACAAGAGGTAAAAGGTATAGCTGGAGAACAAGTTTTCTTGAGTTGTCACTCACAGTGATTCATACTGCAACAGTAAATGAAGCAAGCCATTTTTTTCTGTTATGTTTAAAATGTGCCTACATCACTCGATAAAACTGCAGATATTGCCCTGCTCTTCATCAGAACTGTTGACTACGAAAGCACTGAATGAAGCACTGCTCATGGTAAAGAGACACACACAGACAAAGGTATAAATCTTTCAATAATCATAACAGAAATAAGCAGAGCATTTGCTTAGTCATTGTTGCTATAGTTTTCATAACCAAGGAAACATTTTTTTAAATTAAATCAAATAGTCTATAATTCTACATTAACCTGAAGGCATGACATACCAATCAGAATCTGTATTCACCCCACGAATGGTCCATGGACAGCAACGGAGAAACTCCCAGGGTGCTCCTGAGAGGCAAGACAGGAGCCGCCAATGCATGTGACTACCTTAGGTGCTGGTGACGACATCCACTGCAACCAGAGGAAACTGGTTTGCTTGACTTCCCAGATCCTCCAAACATTCCTTTTGGCAAACTCACACTCTCTACTGGCCACCACTCAGCTGAGTAAGATGGGACACATTTCAAAGGTCAGGTCACGGGAATGTTTGAAGGAGTCAACACAATGTGACAATGACGGGACAGATAAGATTGGGTCCACAGGATATCTGACTTAGAATTACAGCTTTGGTGTTAAATACTCTGAAGATGTAAGTAGCTCATACCAATCTGACAATGGTGTTTGTTGTAAAGGATTAAATAAGAGCCCACAGTACATATAAAGCGCTTGGTGGAGGTCATACCTATCCTACAATGGTGTTTGTTGTGCTTGGTGCACGGTAAATGCCAAAACTTCAAACTTATGTTGGGATCATGCACTGATACTTATTTCTTAATTCACTTTCCCATACTTCGCAATGCCCATGATCTTTCTACGTAGTGGTCATTAGCCAGCTTAACAGTATCAATTATGTTTATGTGGAAAAATTTCTAAGCCCACTGGCCTATGGAGAAGAGAAAAAAATAAACCCCAGAGAAAGGGATAGAGAGAGAAGAAAACATTGGAAATTTACTTGAATGCATCTCAGAACTGCAGGAAGGAATAATGAATATAGAGTGAATCAAAGTACCCAAGAATGAGGAAAAGGCTCTAAACTGAATCCTTTCATGAACCACTTAGTCCATCTCAAAAAGGAGGTTGAAAGTAAAATTACAAAAAGTAAAGAATGAATAAACAGGCAATAAGGGCCAGGGAAAGACTAAAAAGATGGTACCTCTGAGATGCTTGTGACAGTTCTAGTCCACCCTTGAATACTACATAGGAAACAACTTTTCAGCAAAGCTATAAAAAAAAACCACTGTTTTAACCATACATTCAAGTGTTTGGCCAAAGCAGTTAAGTAAGATTGTTTGTACAAGCATTTTAATTAAAGTATAAATTAGAATGCCAATCAGAGTGCCTCATTACCATTCCTTACAAGAAATGAAAAGGGTTAAAATTCAAAAGAAAAGTCTTGTTTCCAGATCTGTGTAGTATGTGAAGCAGAATAATACATGGAATAGTTTAACACATTTCTTAAAAACCTATGCATAAAAAGGAAATAATCAATTCACAATACTGGTTTTAATGAGAAAGGGTAGAAAAAAAATATCAACGATGCTAATATGACCAGAAACTAAATTTTTAATTAAAAAGACAATTCCAAGGGCCGGGGATTTAGCTCAGTGGTTCCACTGCCTTCTTCGAAAGCACAAGGCCCTGAGGTCAATCCCCAGTACCAAAACCAAAACCAAAACCAAACAAAAAAGACAATTCCAGTCTAAATGTCTTTTAACTAAAAGAAATGAAAATAAAGAGGTTGTTCTCTCAAGTAGGTGTTCTGCCCTATTAAGTCCAACCAGTTCTGTTAGTTTGGTTCAATTTCCTCGGTCCTCAGCTACCACTTTAGAGCCTATTCATAAATTCAAATAGCACTGATATACAGGAAAATAATCAGTGTAAGAAAACTGGAAACAATTTTTGGATCCAAGAAAATAAGCCAACCATCTGTTTTGATATTCATGTAACAAGTAGACTTTAAGTTCGTGAGGAAAAGAAAATGTTTGTTTTTGGCACTGGAGGTTGAACTGGAGACCTTGTGCTCGTAAGGCAGGATGTGGAATCACTGAGCTAAATCCCCGGCCCTAAATGTCAAAATGTTAAAGGCTCAATTAGAGTGAATCACAGAACATTTTATTCTGTACTGTTTTTTCTTATGGCAGGACCCATTTCTTTGCACTACATATTGAAGGTTGTGGACAGAGAAGGCTGAAAAGCAGTCTGCAGACTGGGCTCCCTGCTAAGCTCTATGTAAAGTCCTTCTTCTCATCCCTGCTATATTCCAACCCAAGAGAGGAAGACCATCCCGAACTAGTCATATTCCAGGGCATTGACCGAGCCCTCTTTTCTAGAACTGGAAATATGACAGCATAAATCACTCTGCCCAGGCTCAGGTCCCCCTCCTTGGTTCAGGTTAATATGTCTTCTTCTCTAGAGTAAAGGGACCAAACTGAATTTGGGGTACGAAGGAATGGACTTGTCTACTTTGGCTGCACATGGAAGAAGTCAGCTGTCCATTTGGTAAAGCCCTCCAAGGATCTCTACAGCAAAGCTTATGCCCAAGATTGGCCAATGGTTTTTTTTGTGAATTTCCCTATCTGAGATTCAGTGATGAGAAGGACTGACTTAAGACCAGTGAAGGATTAAGTTATTTCTGGATGTCCTGACAAAGCACTATCAATCTACCCGCTCAATACTAATTCCCAATTGTATTTGTTTCAAAAATACCCATCACTAGGGCCAGGGATTTAGCTCAGTGGTTCTGCCACCTGCCTCACGAGCGCAAAAGGGCCCAAGTTCAATCCCCAGTACCAAAAACAAAACAAAAATACCCATCACTAGCCAGGGATATAGCTCAGTGATGTTGCACCTGCCTGGCCAAGTGCAAGGTCCGGAGTTTGATCCCCGGTACCCAAAAATTTAAAAGAAAAATATCCATCATCTAACATGGTTTTTATTAATTAGACAAAGTATGAGAATACAGAAGCATTTGAGGGTCAGTGTTTCTCTTGGAGAGAACAACCTTATTTTGGAAAAGGTGTCAATTGGAGACCTGCAGATTAAGTAAGGATTAGCGCTTAGCTAAACAGTTTTATGTTCTGAAGCCACAAGGTTCCTACAAAGCAGATGGATCACAGCCACACTTATGAGTCCCACATAGAGTGGCACAAAACAGCTCTGGTGCGATTCCTCACACAAAGACACTGACTAGGAAGAGCAGACTGGAAATGAGCATGCTGGGCACTAGTGAGGGCATAGTTCCTGCTTTCCTGCAAACTACACGGGTAAATGATAGACTGAATGAAGAAAGTGAAACTGAAATTTTTGTTTTCTTTTCAGCTCCTTGACCTTCTCCTAGACTAATGTCCAAACTTACACTAACCACTGTTCTGCTGTTGTATGTATGGTTGATAACAGCAGAGTGGGTTTGAATGATTAAATGCACTGGATTCAGGCAACAGTCATTTGCTTGAATTGTTCTAGGGGTTGCAACTGGTTCGGTGCCACTGCTTATGTTTGGAAACATTTATTCATTAAAAGACAGTGCAACAGTATTCTCACGAGTCCTGATCTTCTGAAACTTAGGATAAGATATGACATATCACAGGATTCGGGTTGGAATAAACCAGGTTTGAAGATGATGAAATGAATGATTCAGGCTACAGTATATACATATATGAGGCTGTATTGATTCAGTCAGGGAGAAAGGAATAGCTTTCTGGAACTGTAAGTCAGAGAGTTTTATCTGTATATGCGCAGCCCAGACTAAATGACCTAAACACCATGTATGGAAGGACATTATCATATAAGGGCAAAGATTCTTCCAACCCAAGGCAGCTAAATGGACTTCAACACTGGAATTTAGGGCTAGCTCCCTAGTTGGTTCTGTGATGCTCCTCTTCCACAGTTTTACCTCTTGGATACTTACCAGGGAAGACAGATGGCTAAGTCATGACAAGTCTGGTACCATTTGGTACTATCAAAATCTCACCATGAATTCCAAAGAGTCCCGGTTTTTACCAGTTAAATTTTTACGTACATTTTACTAAGAGGTTTTAATACTGATGAATATTATGGACCCTTTCAGCAACTAACTCAGAATATTTGATCTACTACTGAGAAACACTCATCCCTCATCTTTCTTACACGAAAAGTAATTGCCAATGCATGAGTGGTTACAAGCTTCCAGCATGCACTTTCGCTCTCTCGCCTGTTTTGTCACTGACAACCAAACACAGAAAGTCAGCAGGTATTTTTTGCATCTTACTAATCAGTAATGTTGAGGTCCTTTTATACTCTTGTAGTGATAAATCAACAAGTTTCCAAAAGACGGAAACAGGAACTCTGAGGATGAACTGTTTCAAGGGTTTGAGCTCATGAGATATGATTCACTTGTGTAGTTTACAGCAAAAAGAAAAAAGAAAAAAAAAAAATATATATATATATATGTAGGCTCAAAGTAAAATAGAGGATAAAATAGGCTTTCATCCACATCAATTATAGCACTGAGCAAACATAATCATTCTTAGGAAAAACCACAAGCAACCCATATACAAAAAGGGTAACAAGACATTTATAAAAATACACACCATTCTATAACCCTGACTGACTTCATAAAACAATAATAATAGAAGCTGTTGTGTAAATGCCCTTAAAATTCTACTCAAATGAAATTACTTCTCCCAGCAATATTCAATTTAGATAAATTATAGAGTTGTTATTTTTACCAAAGAAAATCTGGATTCAATTTAATAATTTTATAAATATCTTCAGGACATATAGTGCATATTTAAAAGCTACATTAATGTTAAGTGGGCATTAAAAACAAATGAGTCTGAACTGCTTCGAGAAAGTAAGAAAGGATAAAAGTAAACAGTGGCTCTTTGCATTCCTGAAGGACTTGATTTAAAACCTTAGCCTTGTATCGGTGATCCTGATGCCAGTTGACATCAGCTTAGTTGTGCCAAAATAGCTGAGGTACCAAGAGGCCCTCTATGAACACTTGGTATTAAATTGACTATAATGTTGAAAAGTAAAATGCTTCTGATAATCTGACACCAGACGTAAGAATCGTCACTTCATATAATTCAAGATGAGCCGGGCGTGGTGGCGCACCCCTGTAATCCCAGCACTCAGGAGGCTGAAGCAGGAGGATCACTGTGAGTTTGAGACCAGCCTGGGCTACATAGTGAGTTCTAGGTCAGTCTCAACTACATGAGACCCTGTCTCAAAAAACCACACACACACACACTAATAATAAAAATAATAATAATAATAACACTAATAATAATTTAAGATGAAAGTTAATAAGAAATGTAGCACCTGCCTGGCAAGCACAAGGTCTTGAGTTCGATTTCCAATACCAGGAAAAAAATTTAATGAAAACAAACAGAATATAGGGCTGGGGATTAAGCTCAGTGGTTCTGCCACCTGCCTTGCAAGCACAAGGACCCAAATTTAATACCCAGTGCCAAAAAATGAATGGAATATAGTTAATACTTAGTCTTTGACTAGGCATGACTATTACATTTCCAGAGAGCAATGCAATCTAGAAGACAGAGAAGACACAACAACAAAAAACACATTTAAAACATGTTTTTAAAAGCTTATATAGGGCCGGGGATTTAGCTTAGTGGTTCCGCCGCCTTCCTTGCATGCACAAGGACCTGAGTTGAATGGCTGGTACCAAAAAAAAGTTTATATAAACGCCAGGTGTGGTGGCGCACACCTGTAATCCCAGCACTCGGGAGGCTGAGGCGGGAGGATCGCTGTGAGTTCAAGACCAGCCTGGGCTACATAGTGAGTTCCAGTTTGGTCTCAACTACATAGCAAGACCTTGTCTCAAAAAACCAAAAAAATAAAAGTTATAAAGAAAGCTTTGAACAGATGTACAGTGTTGTATTTTAAGCTAAATGTTTTGGCAAGAGTCAGAAGATGTTTGGGATTTTCTTGTTTTTTGTTTGTTTTTGGTACAAGGTATCAAACTCAGGACCTTGTGCTTGTGAGGCAGGCAGTGGCACCACTGAGCTAAATCCCTGGCCCAAAAGATGTTTAAGAAATGTAAAAGTTGATAAAGTAAAAGATATAACTAAGGTTGATTTATTATTGAAGAAAAGTATTTTATGACCTTAGCTTAGCCTGTGTATGGTGTTTATAGGTTTACAATGTCCTCGCTTGTACAACATTCACTTATCACTCACACCTCACCTAGAGCGGCAGTCCTGCAAGCTCCATTCACAGTAAGGCCTAACACAAGTTAAGTTTTTATCTTTTATACCATGTATTTACTGTACCTTTTCCACATGAGGTAGACAAATACTAACCACTGTGTTATAGTCACCTACAGTATTAAGTACAGATCATGCTGGTTTCTAGTCTTGAAGCAGAAGGCTGTGCCATATTTCTGTAGGCTAAATTATCCAGGTTGGTTTACATATATGAAATGAGGATTTCTCAGATCACACGACTGCTGTTAAAGGATGCATTACTGTATTCTAAATATCTGTACTTTAAGATTCAAAGTGTGAGGCTAGGCATGGTAGTGCACACCTGTAATTCCAGCACTCGGAAGGCTAAGGCAGGAGGATCGCTGTTAGTTCCGGACCAGCCTGGACTACATAGTGAGTTCCAGGTCAGTCTCGACTACATAGTGAGACCCTGTCTCAAAAATAAATAAATAAATAAAAACAAAGATACAAAGAGTGGACAGGTCTTTGTGGGTTTCCATATTATTCTTAAATTTTACAGATCTCTAAAATGCCAAGTCTTGGAGCTCTGATCCAGAATACCAAACCAAACCATATTCTCCCAGTCTAGGAACTCAGAAACTCAGAAATTTGGAAGATGACTGTAAACACTTTGAATTCCGAGGGCTAAAAGATAAATTTAACAGACTGATGCAATTTATGACTAGGTGGTAGGCTGATCTTCTGAATTAAATCCTATGTTTTAAAGTGGGAGATTAAGCAGGATGGGAGGGGACAAAAGAATGTATGACCATTTGCAATGTCATCCCACGGAAAGCATGTAATTTTTTTCGGCTTTACTGTTTATTACAGTAATAATTTTTAAAAGGAGAGATTAAAAAATCTAAACATAATTCTTAAGTTACTATTCTGCAAGTGATTAATACCGACCTTTGATATTAAATGTTCCCCTTTGTTCCTTTTCATCTTCAAAGAGACAAGAATAGCTTCCCATTTGTTTGCTGTTGATGACGGTGGTCCTAAAGATAATTCAAGTTATTAAAATAGCCTTAGTTCTCAAAAACACTACTTAATGAACACTTAGCCATGATCAAAATTTATAAATAGATATAATTCTGTAAACATGCAAATTAGAATGCTAGCACAACATTCAAGTGACTACAAAGGAAAGAATGCTCGGTCAATAAAAATAGAATTCAACTAATTTCTGCTAGTAATATAGGTTAAAATCTCATCTACTCACGTGTACTCAGTATACAGAGTGTTTCCTGTTATAGCGAGAGAAAAATTCTTAAGCAGCTCATCATCCTTTTTCCAAGTCACGTTGATTGAATTCAGATTCCCTAAGGTTGTGTACTGACAGGTGAGAGTAATAATGGAAGAACTTTCCAAAGTGATATTTTTTTCTACTGGCATGCTGGAATGTTCTAATAGTCACAAAAGGAAAAAAAAAAAAGTGAAAGTTACATTTAAGAGGAAAATCCAATATACAAAACCTTTTACATTTTCAACAGTGCTCTATCTATGGTTTCTTAATGTTCATTTGTTTAAAAGAATTATTGCTGCTGGGGATTTAGCTAAGTGGTTACGCTGCCTGCCTCACAAGCCAAGCAAGTTCGACCCCCATACCAAAACAGAACAAAAACTTTAAAAAATCATTTCTCCAACAACATAGATCTGTTTATTTTTCTCCTTTCATAGGCACATCTGAAGAGAATTAATGGAACCACAAAAGCCTACGGTTGTAATATTTATCACCTTAAAATGTCAATAACAGCATACAAGGTACAGGGGAGAAAGAACAGAAAAGGTACTGAATATGCTGACAGTGTGAGAACAGCACAGCTGCAAAAATATAAGAAGGTAAGAATGGGATAGTTGCTTTAACTCTTCGGTAAATACACTGTTGGTAGTTATCACGGAGCTTTGCATACCATAGAGATTGGATTGATAATGCTACTAGATTCTAACACTGGCTTCTTTTTTTAAATCACTGGCTTCTGAAGAACTTGTGAGCTCTAGCTCACAAAGACAGATGTAAAACAGAATTTCCATAAGCAGTTTGTAGTTCTGAATAGTAATTCTAAATGTTAGTATCAACGCATAATATGTTGTATCTTAAAAGAAAAAATATATATACACACAAATGCATACATCTATGTAGATACGGAAGGGGCCCAAAATATACCAAAACGATCTATTGAGGAAAGGGCCGAGGATTTAGCTCAGTGGTGCCGCACCTGCCTCGTAAGCACAAGGCCCTGAGTTTGATCCAATACCACACACACACACACACACACACACACACACACACACACACAAAATCACTGAGCAGAAGGTATTTGAGTTCTTGAAATCTCTTTACACTGAGACTCTCTAAATCCCTTCCCCAGGCACAAGGAGGGAAGATTAACTCATCACTGGAGAAGAAGTCTCCACATCACACCTGAACAAACACTGCCACAACTGTTTTACCCACTAGATGTTCTGCTCAGGGTTGGTATATCTTCCCGAAAAGTCTTGTTTTTCTCTAAGTGATCCTTCCCTCTCCTATTCAAACAGTATACAGGTAAGCCTGGAGCACAGTGCTAAGCAAAATTGCAGGCCCCAGAATTTAAACACTGCATATTCCCACTTACATGATCTCGTAAAAGTAGAAGGTAGAAAAGGAGGTTAAGAGAGGGAGGAGGAGAGAAGATGCTTCAACAGGTACAGGGTCACAGCTGCATAGGAAGGATGAAGTCTAAGGTTCTGCAGCACAGCAGGGTAAATGCGGTTGACGAAGATGAACCGTATGTTTCAAAGTAGTTACGAGAGAGGATTTTGAATGTTTCCAGCACAAAAAGACGATGAAAGTTTGAGGTGACAGATATGCAAATATCCTGATTTGATCATTATGCTGTTGTACACAAGTATCGAGATGTCTCACTGTACATCATAAATACACAGGTATTATGGATCAAATGAAAATTCTGGGCTGGGGAATAACAATTGCCTAGTAAGTGTGAGGCCCTGGGTATGATCCCTTGCACTGAGAGGGATATAAAAGGAGAAAAACCACAAAATATTTTAGAAAGAGACTATATAAGCCTCAAACTTTAACTGCCACTTTCTGTCGTATTTTTTCCTATGAACTGCTACATACATGTGATTAAATCTGTCTTATTTTCTGGCTAATCTGTCTTTTGTTGGTTTAAGTTGTGGAAACTAAGAGGGCAGCACTTCCTCTCCCATCAGTTGCGGGGGCCAAGAAGTCCCTTCACCCCGCGTATCCCAGGGCCTGCAGCTGGGATCTCAGGATTCTGAGTGACAAAGACCAGGTCAGTCACTGAGGTTTCAGCCAGATGTGCAGCTCAGCAAGGCGCACTACTCGTCTTCTTTCTTCTGATCTAATCCTCAGGCCCCACTACTTTGGCACCCGCAAGCACTCATCTCCCACTTACGGGAGACAAACACTGCTAGCTTCAATTCTGACTTGCGATTTAAACAAGAGAACGACCAGGCAAGAGGAACAAAACTTTCCCTTTACAGAATTCCAGCAAATAAATTAAAAAGTCATTGGCCGGGGATTTAGCTCAGTGATTCCGTCACCTACCTCATAAGCACAAGGACCCAAGTTCAACCCCTGGTACCAAAATGGTGATAATGATGATGATGATAAAAAAATTCACTGGGCCAGCGATTTAGCACAATGATTCCAGCACCTGCCTCACAAGCACAAGGACCCGAGTTCGATTCCCAGTACCAAAATAATAATAATAATGATAATGATAATAAATAAAGATTCATTGAATTTAGCTCAGTGGTGCCATTGCCTGCCTCCCAAGCACGAGGTCCTGAGTTCCATCCCGAGTATTAAAAAAAAAAAAAAAAAAGAAATCAAA